GTCCCTGCTCATGGCAGGGGGGTTGGAACTAGGTGATCTTACGGTCCTTTCCAACCCTAACTATTCTATGATTCTATGATTTTATGTGTCTGACCTTGCAGTGATGGATCCAAACAGATTCATTATCCTGTGTTGGCAGTTGATGTGTACAGTATTGAAGGAAATGGGCTTTCCTCTAGACTACTTTTTTAAATTGATTTTTATTTCTTGTGGGTGCTACTGATGAGCTGGAATGAAACTCATGTATGCTCACTTTCTCTTTTTCCTCCCATCTTCATTCTGTTTTAGATACAAAAGTCGTAGCAAGAGCCAGGAGAATCTTGGGCTTTTCTCCTATTATCATAGGAAGACACGTTAGAAATATTTGTATGTTGTATTTGGAAGACAGATCAAGAAACTAAGGAAAAGCTGCCTCTTCGCTTGACTGTACAGTGTGCCTGCCAAGGGAAGACAACGGTGTGTGAATATTAATGTACTATGCTCTCATACCAAAGATTTTATTAGCCAGCTTCATCAGTAATTGCGTTGCCTCAAGATGTATTCAGAATTTCAGCTATATATGCCCTTCCTTATGGGAATGGACTATTTATTTTTGTAAATGCTTATTTTAAAATATTTATCATTGGGATAAAAAAATATTTTTAATACAGACTTTAAAATTATATCCTCACTGCTCATGGGTCTTAAGCCATCTTTCATATGTGTTTTATACTGGAATGAAGGATCACAACTGTTTAAAGAATGCTAGCCTGTCTTTTGTGATAAGTAACTAAAGAAAAGCACTTAAAAAGAAACACACGCACTCAAAGCCTTACTAAGAAATGGATTTCCATCTCAGGATTGTCTGTTTTGTGTAGATCCTTTATACTTACTGCCTGAGCTCAGGTGGGCACTGGCATCTACAAAGGGTATCAGTGCCAGTCATCTCTGTGTATGCCTCATACTTGTGTTTTCTAATTCTCCTGGTTGTGCCTCACCCCAGCCTGCACTGTTCGTGCTTGCGCTCGGCTGCTGGCTGTGGTTGGAATGTGCTGGAGCTGGTGCAGACTGGTGCCCAGTCCACAGAGGGTCCCAGGGACTGAAATGTCTGATCCGAAGCACTACCAAGAAGATTTTTCAGGGGTATTTAGCTTTTCCAGTGAAGTGTTTTGCAGTCTGTGTATTGAAGAAACTGAAATGATCCAAGATACTGTGCAGGAACTTCAGTGCCATGACATGGGGCTGTTTTGTGGCCAGAAATATACCTACTTGAAGAGCATGAGGTTGTTCACAGTGTCATTTGATGATGTTGTGTTTTTCTTCTGTGAGTTGAAACCTGAAAAACTTGCAGAAACCATTGTAAGTCTGAAGTTCTTAAGGGAGATGCAGGGAGTCAGGATTGCAGGTGCAGAAGCTTGGAGTTTCTGAGCTTGCTCCTGCCTAGCTCAGTACAGATGCCCTTCCTCCTTGAGCTGGGAGGTACAGTAGTTCTGAACTGGCTGTGAGAAACCACCTTTTCAGTGGAGAGTTCTTCAGTTACCTGCTCAAGAGCGTAAGGAGCTTGGGAAACCACATTCCTGTACTTTGAGAGAAAGATGCTTTGTGTCTCTTAGTTCACTGACTGAACAAAGACATTTCCAGATCAAATCAAATGTCACCTCAGTAGAAGTTGCAGCTACGTCACAAGTTACTATGTGCTGGAGGATCCCAGGTGAAACTTTCAGTCATTTGTAGTGGTTTTCTCCAAACAGACTGAAAATTGTCTTCTGGCTTTAAACGTCATTCATACTATAAAAATATCATCATTCAAGGCCAGGCTGGATGTGATTCTGGGCAACCTGATCTACTTGAAGATGTCCCTGCTCATTGCAGGGGGATCGGACTAGATGACCTGTGAAGGTCCCTTCCAACCCAAACTATTCTATGATCTCCAAAGCAAATCATCTTGTAATAACTGTATTTCCTGCCAGGACAACACTCACCTGATGCAGTATGAGCATAGAGTGCAGAGGAGGAATTGGGTACACAGCCAAATTTTCAAATAAAAGACCCAAAGAGTATTTGTGGGAAATGTCTTGAGAGATGAAAAAGGGCTCAGAGGACCCTGATTTTACTCCTCTGATAAAATGTTTTTGCCTATGGCATTGGAGTGTGGTTGGGACATGAGCCAGCCCCACAACAGCCACAGTCTGTTAGGTCTCATCTCAAGAACGGACATGTCTTCATGGCCGTCGCTGGTGTGAGTGCAGCTCATCTTGAAACACCCCAGTGAAATCAGACAGGCTACAGAGATGACACGACAGCCACAATACAAGTTAGCACAAGCTCTTTGGTTAGCATTTATTATGACCCAGTTGGTCAGATGTTGACCTGGTTGCTGGGTTTACCCTGCGGATGGTGCCTCCAGCAGCCACATTAAAGCTGGTCTGACTGTTACTGACACGACTGCAGCCACTCCTGAAGAGTTTTCTGTGCAGATGTGCCCCAAGATCAGCACCGGACCAGGGATATTATAAACACGTAACAGCCTGATTACTGCAGTGTAGAGCATGGAATGAGACAAAGGCCACGTGAACACAGTAATAACCAGCAGAGCAGTTTATTTAGATTTCTTTTCCCTTGCCTCTTCCCCACCAGCTCTTGTGTCTCTTCGATCTGATCTCCACAGGGACTCTTGGTAGAGAGAAAATGGTGATTGAGCCGAGTGCATTTCCCACAGCATTAGCTAACGGTGAGGCTTGTCTGCCCTGCTTACACGGCAAGCTGCTGTTGTGCTGCTCTCATCTTGGGGAGGGCTTTAATTACATTCTGTAGTTTATTCCCTGCCTTGCCTTGTGTTTAAGTTGACAACAGGTTGTTGTTTTTCTCCAGCGAAGCAGCTCTAATTTGTAACATTTGAAATG